CTTCACTTTCCTGTAGAAAGATAGTAAGAAGGGTGACAATCTAATCTCTCTGGGAAAGTAATTCCAGAGAGTTGAAGGCTTTCATGGCCAGCATCCATAGTTTTTTGTGGGTTTTTCGGGCTGTGTGGCCATGTTCTAGAAGAGTTTCTTGCTGACGTTTCGTCAGCATCTGTGGCTGGCATCTTCAGAGAATGCTGGAATGGATACCATTCTCTTCCATTCCAGCATTCTCTGAAGATGCCAGCCACAAATACTGGCGAAACGTCAGAAAGAAACTCTTCTAGAACATGACCACACAGCCCGAAAAACCCACCAAAAAAAACTAATTCCAAAGACTGGGAGCAGCCACCAAGAATGGCCTCTCCCATGTTCCCACTGGATGCACCTTTGAGAGTGGCGAGATGGAGAGAAGGGTCCCTCCAGAAGATCTCAAAACAAGATCAGGTTCATATGGGAGAACACAATCCTTCAAATAACCTGGACCTGAGCCATGTAGGGCTTGATAAGTCATCACCAGCACTTTGAATTGTGCCAATAAACAGACTGGCAGTAGAGCTCTTGCAGCAAGGGAGTTGTGTTTCTCTCTCTTAACCCAGTTAGCCATTCACCTGTTCAAATCTTCATCCCTCCAAGTCTCCAGTTCAAACATGGTGGGTTGGGTTGTTTGGGATTGGGTTTTTTTTAAAGTCTCAAGATTATTACAGGCACTTGTTTACAGTTAACACAATGTACACTGGTGGTTAATCTTTGTAGATTTACATTTAAGCTAATGCGTACTGGTTAATCTCTTTGGAGCAAAGGGTCTAATTTTCTTCCCTTGAGATGCTCCAGAGGCCACATGGATTGCCAAAAACGCCCTCCTCCAAAAAATGAAACAAGGAACAGATGCAAAACAGGAGGTTGGAAAATAAGATTGGTAAACAGTGCTGCCGGGCTGTAACCTATTTATCACTTTGGAGGGCTGCCAGGGACTGATAATTCACCCCTTTTGAGCAAAAAAATGAAAAATAGAAATGGGCAGGCTGGGGAATCTGGAAGGGTTGAAATCCGATCAAAATGCTTTGAGGAATGAATACACTTTGCCAATGCCAGTTGAGTCTTAGCATAGTGAAGAATCGATTGTCCTGATGAGAAGGAGGGCTGCTGTGTAATAGCTGCTGTGCCTCCGTCTGTCTTTGTTCCTCCCCCCGCCAAAAAAATTATTTTATTATGAATAAGGAAGAATGCATGTGATAAAGTAACATATACCATCTGACATAGCACAGGGTTGGAAAGGGAGCATTACCCTGTCATCAGTCATTGCAAAGCAGGCTGGAATCTGGAGGTCTTGAAATTTCCTAAGTTCATTTTCCTACTGCAAACTGAGGAAACAGTCAAGAGCAACCCTCCAAACAAGCACACACAAAAACATCCATTAGCGGCATACATAATGTGTGAAGTGGCAACATGGATGCCAGCCAAACAACTGAGAAACAAAAGGTGGAATGTGGAAAGGAAAAGTGGTAGAGAACATTATTTATTTATTTATATTATTATTATTATTATTATTATTATTATTATTATTATTATTATTATTAACATTAACACTTTTGTTACTTGCACAACTTCTCCCTAGTGGTTTTTCTCTGTGTGTGTTTACTGTGACTAGTGTTGCCAATTCCATTTCCTTGAAATTTCTAATAACAACAACAATAATAACAACAACAACAACAATCATAATAAAACAATATATAGTGGGCCCTTGATAGCCACTAGGGTTTGGTTCCAAAATCCATGGATGCTCAAATCCCATAAATTACAATGGCAAAATGAAATGGTGTCCTTTATATAAAATAGCAAAATCAAATTATACTTTCTGGAATTTATATCTTTTTTTTGAATATTTTCAAGCCATGACCAAAGAATCTGTGGATATGAAGGGCTGACTGTACAAATGAATACATACAAATTTTCCACATCTAAAAGGCATACGAGGAAAAAACAAACCTAACAACAAACAAAACTAACATAACTAACCAAAAAAAACATATAAAGACTAAACAATAAAACAAGGAAACAAATGCTTCCAGCATACCTGACTATAGTTCTTTTACATTACTTACCTAATTCCTTATAGTTTATTTTAAGGTTAATATGTTATTTGGGGAGGAAACTGATTATATCTATCATACTCATAATAAAAATCCTCACCAATACCTAATAAAAAATTTAAACATTTTTAAAACAAAACCCTTATTGTGTATATCAATCTTCCAAAAACCTAAAACCATAATAAAAGCTCCTGTATTTTCCATATATCCGGTCAACATCTTCCACTCTTTCTTAAATTTATCCAGAGTTTTCCCATGTATTAACATTGTCAGTTTATCCTTCTCTACTAAATCATATAATTTCAACAACCAGTCTTCTCAACTCTTTCCATCTTTGTGCATCCATCATTCCAGCCACCGTTGTCACATATCATGGTATTCTTCCATGAGTCTTCTCCAAATATTTGTCTAAAACTTCTAATAAAAATAACTCAGGATCCAACTCAAGTTTAATTTTCAGAATATCCTTCATCGGTATGCGAATTTACTTAAGATTTCAGAACCAACACCTGACGACAGAAGGGGTGTGGGGTGGAGGCATGTCCTTGTGGTTGGACAAAGTGATCCCTTGTGACATTGTAGGGAGTGGGTCCTTGCGATATCACAGATCTGGGAAAGGCTAGAACTGGGAAGTGAATGGGAACTGCTTTGGGGTCAGCCGTATGTGGAAATGGGAATCAGGATAATGGGGGCATCCTTTGTGTAAAACCTGGGTAACCAGGAAATATGGCATCCCAGAGTCAGGGAGTGGGAGCATCTTTCCACAGTCAGGCAGGGAGAAAACTGCACCCCGGGGCTACATCAATTTCTGCCATTCCTGGTAGGACTCACTTCCCATATGGGTTAATCTATTTCACATGGGGATTTTAGTCAGGCTCGACATGGCTGCTGGAATCAGTGGAAAACATAGACATTTCCCCCTTAAAATGTAGATTTGGTGCTTTTTAAAATTTAAACGCCTTGGTCTGTGGAATTGTGGTTGATGCTTGGGGATGCATCATGCTTAATGACACCACCAAGAGCCCCTTGTAACAGCACCAGGGTGTATATCTTGTGACATCGGAAGGGATCTCCAGTATTAGCCCTGAACTCTTGGGACCTGGGACAGTCCTGAACAGGGAACTGTACCTACATTGCTGCTGCCTGGATTTGTAGAACAAGAAAGTTGTGGGGTACATCTAAACTGTAGAAATAATACAGTTTGACACCACTTTAAGTGGTGTAGCTTCATCCTAGGGAATCCTAGGAATTGTCATTTTCCAAGATCTTTAGCCTTCTCTGCCTAAGAGTGCTGGTGCCTCACAAAACTACAGACCCCAGGATTCTGTAGCATGGGGCCATGGCAGCTAAAGAGGTGTCCAACTGCATTATTTCTACAGTGTCAGATGCACCCTTTGAGTCACAATGCTTGTGCTTCACTGCCTGCCTTGCTCCAAATTGCACAGCAAGCCCAAGGCCAGGCATCCTCCTGTCCTCTCTCCACTCCCCTCTGCTTGCTCCCCATGCTTTAGTTCACCAATTTTGCACAAGTGTAACAAACATAGAAACACCTCTATGATGAGCCAGAGAGAACCTGGCACCAGTTGGGAATGGGTGGAAATGGACATCTGGGCTTTAAAGCCACCTGGCATACAAAAAGAGAGCATTCTCATCCTCCTGTACATTTTGAGCTGAGATTTTGAGCTGAGATCCATCCCAGAGAACTGGAGATGTACACCATTTCCCTTCAGCAGATGCCTGGAGTCCTGGTAACCCTAGCTGAGGCTAATGGAAAACTAGGAACCTTCAGCCCTCCAAATGCTTTGGCCCAAACTCTCATCCTCCCCACCTAGTGGTAGGGGATTCTGATGGTTCTGATCCAAAACCTGTGGAAATCCATATGTTCCCCACACCTGATCTAAGGGGGAAGAACAGGGATGGAGCAACAGATATGGAAAATCATTAAGGGCCATCTTCCCTGCCCCCTTTCCTGCTCTCCAAATTGCATCTTCTCCTCTGCATGGCAACAACATCCTTCCCCCAATTTGTGTCTACCTGTGAATGATCTCTTTTGGTCTTGCAATGCCAAAAGAACAAAGAGATGACAGATGAAGTGATTCCTGCTCTCTTTGGCCTCCAAGGTAGCTTTAAACTCTGCATGCTTAAAAGAACACTATTACATAAGATGCTCATTAATTGAATACCCACATTTACGGTTCAAAATGGCCAAAGTCTGAGTTGCAAGTAAGCAATGTTCTTTTGATTTATAAATGTGCGTAGCCTGCATACGTAGAATATAACAATACAATTGCTTACATAATATACTTGGGATGCAAATGTATCCGTGGCGGTCTAGCTGATCGCAGCCCTGATGTCGTATATCCAATTAGATATGTGAAGTGCTGAAAATGCCCTCTGGGAGGTAGCCAAGAGCCTAGATTTCAATGGCTGAAGCAAGTTCCTCCCAGAGGACCGGAGCACCCGGGGAGGATTATATGGGAGGAGGCAGTCTCGGAGATAGTTTAGACCCAAGCCATTTAGGCCTTTAAAGGTGACAACCAACACCTTATACTGGGTCCAGAAACTAATGGGCAGCCAGTGGAGGGATCTTAAGACCAGAGTTATATGGTCCGTCCTAGATGTACCAGAAACGACTCTGGCTGCCATATTTTGTAGTAGCTGGAGTTTCCGGACCAAGCAAGAGTGTAGCCCCATGTAGAGCGCATTACAGAAGTCAAGGCGTGAGGTTA